GAATCCCAAATCCATGCCACGTGTCACAGTGACTAGGCATCCAAGACCAACAAGGTGACGCCATGTGTCCAAATGAGGTGGTAGTCCAGTCAAACGCAAGAACGAATCACAATGCACCAAGTGTCAAAATGACATCATTTGGCCAATCACAAGCAACCTTGTCCACTCCTTACATTTATAAATATGAGACAAACATAACATTCAAGGAATCCAGAAAACTCTTCAACAAGCATTCAACAAATTGGAGAAATCTACAACATCAACATCAATAGTTCTTAAAAGGAGTGATTAATGGAGTTCTTATCGGGGATCGACTTACAACGACGAAGCGCTTACCAACGTCCTGGAGATTGACAACATCTCAAGGAGGTCTATTTCATCCAACAATTTGAGAAATACGCTACTGAAGACCCTCGAATCGTGGAGAAACTTAGGAGAGAGAATCAAGAGAACAACGGAATTGTACTCACAACCATTCATTTGTAAAATCGCATTTTTCTTTTATTTATTTTGCTTGCAGTCGATTTTCCACGCTTATGAAAATTTGTTGCGAACAATGTTACAACAAAATTCAAATCCATGCGAAGGCTTATGCAGTGGTACCTGATTGATATGTCATGATTTTCAAAAACATATTATAAGTGCTAAAATTGCAAGTAGAGATTTTAAAGACACATGTATTTATATCGATAATACCGTTATTATCATCAGCAGATGAAAAACTCCCTCTTCCTTTCAGAAGAACACAATTTCCACAACAATTATGTTTTGCTATGACGATAAATAAAGGTCAAGGTCAAACTTTGGATTTTTTCGGTATTTATTTGCGTGAACCTGTTTTTTCGCATGGTCAGCATAGACTTTTTCTCTTTATTGCACGTTGTTATTATTTTACTTGTAGGGCGGGATGACACATGATCCTCTTATTCAACGTTGAGAAAACTATTTTCGGTTGTTTGGGTCAATCTGATAGTTATTGCAGGCTACAATAACTGGTGCTCTTTAAAGGCTGTTCTTCGTATTTGTCTACCTGTTAAAAGGAGCATAAAATTATCTTTCTGCTGTGTTAATTAAATATATAAAATTAAAATGATAGTCTTCCATAAGTTCTTGCCTTCATACTCAAAATTGTGTATATGTTGCGAGTGTTCACGTGTTTTTCTGTAATATTCCGATGGATAGAATGTCCCACAGCTAATGACTTGACTACAATTGGCTTCTTTGTAAGGTATGCAATGCGTTGTCACTTCAGATGTTGTTTTGCTGATATAGATGGAATGGGGACAACAGAATGAGGGTAATGCACATCTCCTTTTTATTCAAGCTTATATGAAGGAATTATTTAGATTGATCTTGATTTGTTTGCGCGGTTGTTTGAAGCTTTACAGACTTTCACTTCAGGTCCTACTTTTCTTAATTATATGATCAAACTTTCTGAGAAAATATATTCAATGAAGTGACTAACATCTGAATTTCTTAATTACTCTTGTTGCTCCTTGGAAGGAACTCATTTCCAAGTTTACCGTGGAGTTACGGTTCATCTAGTATTGAAGTTTGACAGACACTACCTCTCATATATCATGTTGTCTGATTTTGACAGAAGTTTTGCTTATCCTAAATTCTTAATGTTTAATTCTTGCCCTTTTCTCTTTTGAGTATCCACAATTTTGAAGCGTTATAGTTTTGTTGATAAATCTCCAATGAACAGAACTCATGCGCACAAATTACGCCTACGCCATACAATGGAGATTTGACTAAAGTAAAAAAGATCTCAGTACTACTGAATGTATGAATGAAATAGTTTCATTTTGATATTGACTCAGGCTTTAATGTTTAGTCTGGCAGTAAGTAGCTAAATAGTTTTCATTTTGATAATAAATAGGACCTGTTACCATTTACATTTCACACTTGCTCACTATTTAAATTTATATAACGACAAGTATGTCCACATTGAGTTTCAACTTTGATAGCTCAATTATATTTCCACTTTTGTAACATAACTATTTTAAAGGGAAAAAAAAAATCCTACTGCCACCTCTAGCTTCAAAACTCAACAACATTGTGGCCATATATTATTTGCTGTCGCGCCATCATTTATTAAACACACCAAGTTATTTTCATTACTTGTTTATTTAAATTTAAAATGAGAATATTCATAATCCAATCAAATTGACGGCTTTCAACAACCAAACAATATATTGTTGTATATATTTTTTTTATGACAAGGGAAATCCGCAGTCGTTGCCCTTTGGGTGCGCACAGGGTAAAAGACCCGCTCCTATGCAATAGCTCGCAAATCACATAGGACAGGTAACCCGCACTAGACAAGCCTTGTGCGACGAGCTAACCCAGAAGGCAAACCCCTTGCTTTCGCTAGCAAGGGGTTTCAAACTTGAGACCTTCAACATAGAAGTCCCAAACTCAAACCAGTGAGTCACCCTGAAGCGTAATTAGTATATTGTTGTATATAACACCATATGTATATATAAACGTATTATTCTTCCTTTTTCCATAGAAATATGATTCTGAGTTCTAGGTAAATATGAGCACTATAGGTACTTGAATTATTCTTACCATATTAAATTACAAATCATTCCACTAGAAATTCATAATTATATTCCTTTATATATACTTCGCAATTCCTCATTAAACACTTATGTAGTTCTCCATGTTAAGATTTCTGATACTAAATCAATAAATTATATTACTGACGAATTTAACTTAATGATTAATTTCCTTTAGACACTATTTAACTATGTGTAAGATTCATACATTCACTTGCAAGATTTGACACTATGAAAACTTATAAATTTCTCAAAAAAGCATATCAATCAATCTCTATAATGAGACATGGATTCCATCAACTAACTTATAAATTCACCAATATATATCATTATCATCCAACTTAACACGCATATTGACTTATCTCATAATCTTACCTTTTAATAAATCAAAATAATAATTAATACATACAGATCATAATAGTTATATCAAGGTTAATAATATAAGTACATTTAATAGTTTAGAGAATATGTTTTTGTCCGTCAGTCTAAAATAAGTATCTCTACTCGGTCCCGTTCAATACATACAAAATGAACCAGTACAAGAAGTTGGAACTATATCGTTCTCACGATCAAGATAAATTACATATAATCTTGTGCTACAATCATACTCGATGACATGTCTAATTTCCATCCTAAATTGTGAACAAAAATCTTTATACTTATAAGAACCGATGATTTAATCCTCTGTTTATAAGCTAAAACTCTACAGACTAAATCATCTACTATATAAGTTTAGACACCATAAACGAATATATGATCTATTAAAATTAAACAAATACTTATTTTCTAATAGATATTATTTTTTAACACATAATTAATAGTATATATCCCAACAATCTCACTCTTGAAAATCAAGTTCATGTGCTTCAAGCTTTAAAAGAGCTCAAATACTCCTGTTACCAACAACCTTGTCAAGTGGGCTGATTTTCTACCCTTCGTGCTTTGGCATCTTTGGCTCAACAAAAGTTAATGTTTTTAATAATAAAACTGCAACTCTCACCCCCTCCCCCCCCAATTCTTAGAGTTGATATAAAATAGAACCATTGAATATGTCCACTCTACTTCTCAGTCGCATAATGCAAACTCCTCTATCCTAATAAGCATCAAATGGTTTCCCCCCCATAGCGACGTTAGGGACGAAAAATATGCAGGTGTAGTATGAAATCTATCAAAAATAACCTCAAATGACCATTAGTAAGAAGATAAGAGAAAAACATACCAAAAGATAAAAATTTTAACGTGGTTCGTTCGAACGACCTATGTACACAAAATATTTATGAGAATACAAAATATAGAGAGAAATAACCTCTATCAATTCCGTCGAAATACAAGGAGCTTCACTAAACTTTTTCCCACAACCAAAACTCTCAAAACCATAGGACTACAGTTGTGAATGCTCATTAAGTTAGAAAAAAAATCTATATTTAAAGAGTCCTAAACCCTTTCCTACAAGTAAAGGACTAGTCAAAACACTAATACCTTTTTTTAAAAAGAAAAACTTATTTATAATAAGAATTCAGGGCAAATAAATCCCAACAAGAGAGAAGTTCAAATAAATTACAGATGACTCTTTTTAAGTAGAGCACTGAGGAAGGAGGAATTGGCGGGGTGATTCGGATTACAAGGGTTATTTGATTGTAGATTTTATAAGCATACATTCATATTGTGGTGGAAATAGAGGCCCTATTAGAGGGTAAAAGAGGGTCGATTTATTTTTTACCGAACACCACTCTAGGAAGTCTTACAAACGTCTCTAACACTCAACCTACTTTACACCCACGAATTTGACTAAGTATAGAAATACTTAAGCAGCAAAGTTAAACAACAAACAGACTTTACAAGAACTTGTCCCAACCTTTATTAATCTGATAATTAATACAAAGGAAGGCTTCACGAATTAGTCTAAGGCTAAAACACTCTGTCTAAACCTTAGACGAATTTCCACCCTTAATAAAATTTCTGCACATGGCAGTTACATGCGGCAGTTACAAATGACACCTGTCCGACACTTGTCATCACAGGATTCAAACTAAGTTTCCAACAACTATATTTCTAACAGATAGAATATAATTCAAATTACATTCTTATCTACACAATATACTAATATTCTAACACATTGAATATTTCAGGCTACATTCTAACACATAGAATATTTCAGCTAGCTTCCAAAACTTAGAATATTTTAGCTGTCTTCCAACACTTAGTTTTTCAGCAATTCTCGTGAACTGCCTTTGTTCTTGCCATTGTCAAGTCTTCACAGCCTTGCCTTGCCAAGCCAACACGCTGCCTTGCCGATGTCCCTACCCCGCACGTTAGTCTTGCATGTTCAAGCTGCCTTGCCAACGTCCAAGCCCCTTGAACCTGCGTTGCACTGTTTTTCCATCATCCATGTCAAGACCAATGCCCAAGTCCTTGACATGTCTGCACGTAATTAGATCAAGTAGTTTGCGGGTCTAATAGACCACTCGCACCACTTGTACTCGATGTCCTCATCGAGACTGTTTTAAGATAGTCCTCGATTTGAGCATCAAAATGCCATAAGTCTTTTGCCTTCTCCCAAACTGCATCAGCTGCACTCTTTCCTTTCCAATGAGCCAAGAATGCGGTCTTAGTATTCTTCTTACTTGTGCCCAAACCCCGGTGATCAAGGATTTTCTCAATTTCAGCATCATACTGTGTAGGTACTGATGGAGGAGCCCTCTTTGACCTATTTCTGTCTGGATCATATGCATCTGCAAAGTAAGGTTTCAAGAAATTCACAAGGAAAATGGGATGAATTTTCAACCTTTCTGGCAACTTTGACCTATAAGCAACTTCGCCCACTCGTTTCACCACTTCGAATGGACCATCATTCTTAGGAATCAAACACCGATGTCTGGTCTTACTTACAATCTGTTTCCAGATTGGTGGGGTAAGTTTCAATAACACCTTGTCACCCATATTAAACTCAACTGAGCGACGATGTTGATCAACATACTTCTTCATGCGCCGTTGAGCCTTGCGCAAGCTATCTTGTGCCTCAGATAGCATTTCAAGTCTGTCCCTTGCAACCCTGTATGCTGCTGGACATTTTCCCTGATTTTTAGATTTGGCAACATCTAGTGGCGTCATAGGCTGTCTGCCTAAAATGATTTCAAAAGGGCTCCTTTCTGTTGTAGACGACTTGTGCAGATTATAACAAAACTGCGCAGTGTCTAACAATGTTACCTAATTCCGTTGACTTGCTGTCACATAGTGCCTCAAGTATTCTTCTATGAAGTGATTAATTCTTTCCGTCTGTCCATCTGTTTGTGGATGATTTGCAGTAGAAAATTTTAATTCAGTTCGCATCATATTGAACAATGCTGTCCAATGTTTACCGGTGAACCTTGTATCTCTATCACTCACAATGTCAGCCAAAACACCAAAATACTTAACCACATATTTGTAGAACAAATCAGCAGCAACTTCAGATGAACATAGTTCAGGTGTAGGAATAAAAAAAGAATATTTTGAAAACCTATCAACTACTACTATGATAGATGCTTTGCCATCTACTTTAGGGAATCCAGAAATGAAATCCATGCTTACTGATAGCCATGGCTTTTCAGGAACAGGCAAAGGTTGCTGCAAACCTGCTTCCTTCTTACGTTCAGTCTTGTCAACTTGACAAACATGACAAGTCTTGACGTATGCCTCTATATCATCTTCCACTTTTGGCCAAAAATAAACATGAGACAGTAAGACTAACATACTTTCAACACCTGGATGCCCAGCCCAAGCAGAATCATGCGCTTCTTTCATTAAGTCTTTGCACAATCCGCCCTGATTTGGTACAACGACTCTCCCCTCTTTAAAATAGAGCAGATCGTCCTCGATCCAATACCGTCTCATTGTGCCATCTTACACTTGACTCATCCATTTAACATATAATGAATAATTTGCAGCACACAACCTTATTCTATCATAGAAATTAGTTTCGAGTTTTGAAATTGAATATACTTCAACAAACACTTCTTTTCTACTCAGCGCATCAGCAACCTGGTTGTGTTTTCCTGGTTTATGTTCCCACATGAAATCATATTCTGCTAGGAATTCTTGCCACCGTGCTTGTTTAGGACTCAACTTTTTCTGTGTCTTGAAAAATGTATTTGCTACATTATCAGTTCTTACTACAAATCGAGTACCCAGGAGATAAACTCTCCAAAACTGCAAACAGTGTACCACCGCAACTATTTCTTTTTCATGTTATGCCACCAATTGCCTTGTATGACGCATCAATGTGCACTTCAAATGGTAACTCAAAATCAGGCAATTTGAGTATAGGTTTAGATGCAATAGCATTCTTCAAATTCTGAAATGCTTCATCACATCGTTCAGACCAAACCCACTTTGTATCCTTCGTCAACAAATCTGTCAAAGCCACTGGCCTTTTTGAGTAACCAGCAATGAATTTTCTGTAATAGTTAGCCAAGCCAAGAAACGACCTCAAATCCTTCACATGACGAGTTGCCTGCCAATCAACAATGGCTTGCACTTTCTTAGGATCCATTCGAACTTGGTTTTTACTAACAAGATGCCCCAAGAATTTTATCTCTTGTTGAGCAAACTCACACTTTTCCATCTTGACATAAAGTGTGTATTTTCTCAACTGAGATAGAACCAAACTTAAGTGATTGACATGTTCCTCAAATATTCGACTATAAATGACAATTTTATCGAGATAGACAACAACAAAGTCATCAAGATAGTCAAACAATACATTATTCATTTAGTTGCAAAACGTTGTCGGGGCATTAGTCAGTCCAAATGGCATTACAAGGAATTCATATGAACCATATCTAGTTACACATGTTATTTTTAGTTCATCACCCTCTGCTATCCTAACCTGCCAATAACCCGCCCTGAGATCAAGTTTTGTGAACTAGAATGTCTTACTCAACATGTCCATCAAATCCTGTACCAACGGAACCGGATACTTGTTCTTTATAGTTGCCTTGTTCAGCGCCCTGTAGTCTACACACATTCGCATCGGTCCGTCTTGTTTCTTTTGAAATAAAATAGGAGCACCATGTGGGGCCTTAGATGGCTAAATCAATTCAGCATCCAACAACTTGTTCAATTGTTTGCGTAATTCAACCAATTCCTTAGGAGCCATACGATAAGGAGCCTATGCAGGAGCAACCGTACCAGGAAACAACTCAATTTATGATCAATATCCCTCCTTGGTGGTAATTTCTTTGGTAATTCAGGCGGCATAACATTAGCATACTGTTTTAAGCAATTCGGCAACACAATTAGGCACTTCCATCTTCACATCAGGTTTCACTTCAACAAAGGTAGCAAGTATAGTGTCATCACCTTTCTTCAGCCCTTTGTCGATTGACATAGCAGACAAGAACATTCCTTTGTCTTTCTTCTTTGCAACTTTATTAATGTTCCCAAATGGATGAAATCCTTTAAGAAATCTAGCATTTCTTCCATTCATGACCATCACTCCATCTAAGTGAGGAAATGGAACAAACTGGAATTTTCTTAGAAAATCAATCCCAAGTATGATCTCAAATTCACCAAGTGGCATCCCCATCAAATTATGTTTTCCCACCCAACTTCCAATCGACATAGACACACCATAAGCCATTCCCACAATGGCCTGTGCCTTATCATTGACTGTTTTGACATAGGAAGGGCTTTTACACAACTTCAGCCCCAATTTTGTAGCAATTCTCACGTCTACAAACGTATGAGTGGCCCTTGTATCAACCATTGCCATCACACATTGTTCTTCACTTTCGTTTCTATATGAATTAGAGAAGCATGAAGATTCGAAGTACTAGACATTTCTCCAACATTATTAATCCCTGTAATATGGTTGAAGGACAATCCCAATGGGTTTGACATTGCTGCCACGATTTCCTCACCGTCCTCGTTTTTATTCATATTTCCAGAAAGCAAAGCGTTTACCTTTTTCCGGTTTGGACAAGACTTGGCCAAATGAGGACCACCACAAGTCCAACAGCCCTTAGAATTACCATCTTTGTTCTTTGGTTTGTCTTTTCCATCCCTCATTTGTGCCTTTCCTTTGTAATTTGTATCGTCCTTACGACTATCCTTTTTCCATTCCCATTTTTTATCATTCTTTTTTTTTAGTTTTTGAAGTGGAGGTAACATCTGTGAAAGGATGAGTCGTCCGGATTTCAATTAACGAATCTGCAGCAGCAATTGCACCAGGCAGACTTTGAACATTTTGTCTCCGGAGTTCATTTTGAGCCCAACCTTGCATATCCGAAATGAAGTTGTGTAATTTATCCTCATCAGACATATTCTTTATGACTAACATCATAGAGGTAAATTCTTTAATGTATTCCCTCACCGAACCCATCTGCCTTAGCCTTTTCAATTTATCCCTTGCAAGCCAAGATGTGTTTTTAGGAAGAAATTGATCAAGCATTTATATTATTAACTTATCTCATGTATCAATTCTAGGACGTCCAGCACTTACATCATCTGCATTTCGAGTCCTCCACCAAAGTTTAGCATCACTTGTCAAGTACATTGTGGTAATATTTAACTTGTCAGCGTCAGGCAACCTTGCAGCAGTAAAATACTGTTCCATGTCCCAAATAAAGTTTTTTTCAGTTCTTTAGCACTTCTTGCGCCACTAAAGGACTTGGGTTCTGGAATTTTAACCTTAGATGATTCAACACGATTTGAACTCAACGTAGCCACAGCCCGACACAATACAACGAGCTCTGCACGAAGGTTCTCATTTTCCTTCTGCAGTCCCTCAAGTTGTTGCATAGTTGTGGTACGAAAATCTAAGATTTCAGCAATATGATTATTAACATTCTGTCGATATAAAACAATCTCCCCCTGAAATTTCTCAGCGTCTTGTCTCAAATCAATGACTTGTGTAAACAAATCCACAAACGTAGAGTCTCCCAAAATATCATCTGTAAACACAATGAATGCTTCAATTTTTCATGCCAGTTCTTCACCATCGTTCAACCGTGCTCTGAGACCAACTAAAAGAGGGTCGACTTATTTTTACCGAACACCACTCTAGGCAGTCGTACAAACGTCTATAACACTCAGCCTACTTTACACCCACGAATTTGACTAAGTATAGAAATACCTAAGCAACAAAGTTAAACAATAAACAGACTTTACATGAACTTGTCCCAACTTTTATTAATCTGATAATTAATGCAAAGGAAGGCTTCACGAATTAGTCTAAGGCTAAAACACTGTCTAAACCTTAGACGAATTTCTACCCTTAATAAAATTTCTGCACAAGGCAGTTACATGCGGCAGTTACAAATGACACCTGTCCGACACTTGTCATCACAAGGTTCAAACTAAGTTTCATACAATTATATTTCTAACAGATAGAATGTAATTCAAATTACATTCTTATATACACAAAATACTAATATTGTAACACTTAGAATATTTCAGGCTACATTCCAACACAGAATATTTCAGCCAGCTTCCAACACATACAATATTTTAGCTGTCTTCCAACACTTAGTTTTATTTCAGCAATTCTCGTGAGCTGCCTTTGTTCTTGCCATTGTCAAGTCTTCACATCCTTGCCTTGTCAAGCCAACACGGTGCCTTGCCAATGACCCTAGCCCGCACGTAAGCCTTGGATGTTCAAGCTGCCTTGCCAACACACAAGCATCTTGAACCTGCATTGCACTGTTTTACCATCATCCATGTCAAGACCAATGCCCAAGTCCTTGACATGTCTGCACGTAGTTAGATCAAGTAGTTTGAGGTTCTGACAGAGGGTGTGAAATTAGTCGTACAACTCAAGTTAAATTCCATTAAAATAGAAACCAATTCGATTGAAATATCACAAGCATTATATCATCCTCACCCTATTTAGTTACAATGATTAATGATTGCGAGTTGCTTATGAAGAGGTCCAATAATCTCCCATAATTTTGGCCAAGCCAAGAAATATAACAGACCTTTAATCTAGGATGAGTGTCAAGCTAACATCGTCCATACAAGACACTAATGTATCAACCTCCAGTCTTGGTCGTAGCTATAGTGCAAGTAGATCAAGTAGGAGCCTCTAGTAGTAAACTAATTTCTAGGACTAATTGTAATAAATTAATCTATTT